CTCCGCCTTGGGCTGGGGCTTGGGGCGCCGGGCCGGGGGCGGCCGCTGGCTCACGCTGCGCCGGCGCTGCATCCTGAGGGACGGGAGGGATGGGGTCCACACCCGCAGGGCAGGAGAGCCTGGCATGTGCTGCTCCCTCCTGCCCACCCTGAGGTGTTCTGTGCCTGCAGGTGGGTGAACTGGGGGAACTGGGGCAGGATGAGCTGCCCATCCTGTTGTCCCACACCCATGGGGTGCTCCGTGCCTGCAGGTGGGTGCTCCCAGTGCAGGGACTGGGGGAACTGGGATGCACAAGAGCCTGGGAGATGTGTCCTGCCAGCAAAGCCAGATTGCCCCACTCTGGTGCCCTCCTCAGAGGGGAAAGCATCTCCCAGCGCTGGTAGCAGTGGGAGAGGAGGATGGGGCAGGGAGAGGGACGTGGGACAGGACCTACCCAGCCACCCCCTGGTCAGGCACATTGAGGAAGTCCATGTTGTGCTCAGATGGGGGCCGTGCCTTGGGCTGGTGGCCGGCGGGGCGGGCAGGAAGAGCCGCGGCCGGGGGACCCCGCGTCTGCTTCTGGGGCATCTTGTAGGTGTCTCTCTGGGCCCAGGCATCGCCGCGGGGCATCTGGGGGCCCCCGTTCCTGCAGGCTCCTGGAACATCCCGTCCCAGGAGGGTGCATTACGGGGGGGCCATGCAGCCTGCACCCCCGGGTGTCCCCACCCTGGTACCCCCTCCTCACCTCTGGGTGCTGGTGGGGCACTTCGGGACGGTGCCTGACGCCTGTCGCCACCTCTGCCCTGTGCTGCCCCCTTCCTTGTGGGCTCTGGGGGGACACAAGCCCCCCGTTAGGTGACAGATCTCAGAGCCAGCTGGAGGAGCCATTTGTACCCTGTTCCCAAAGATCCCTGTGCTGCCCCATCACCAGAGCAGAAATGGGTCCTTCCCAAGGCAGACACAAACCCCACGGGATACACCCAGCTCTCCCCACTGCTCCCAGGCCTCCAGCTGTGCCCTGTGACCCCAGCGCTCCTGTGTCCCCCCTCTGCCACCCCCCAGTGCCCTGGCACTCACTGGCATTCCTGGGGAGCCCATCCCCGATGCTGACCGTAAGGGTTTTGCCTCCAGCTTTGAGGGCGGCCACGTCGCCCTGTCCCCTGATGAAGGTGACGCTGCGGGTGCCACCGCCACCCCAGCCCTCCTTCTTCACCCGAAACTGTAGTCTGGGGGCGAGAGAAGCCATGAGGCTGCGGTGACAGGACCCCGTCCTGCTCTGTCACCTCTCCTGGCCTCTATCCTTACGTGTCCTTGAAGGAGAGGGGCAGCTTGGAGCGAGTGAGCTCCTCGAAGCGTTTGCACAGGAGGCTGATCAGCTCCGTCTTGAAGATGGACTCCAAGAAATTGTCGGCATCATTCTCGTGGAGGATGAAGAAGTCATCCTGCCTGGTGCTGAGGGAACAACCAGGGGTGTCAACCCCACCAAGGCTGGTGCCAGCTGGGCTGGGGAGGATTTGGGGACCCCGCTGGGCTTGGGCCCACCCCAAGGAATCATGGAGGGCAATTTAGCTGGAAAAGCTGGAAGAAATTCGGTTTCTGCAAAGCACCCATGGGGAGCATCCTCCTCAGGGCTGGATGCCCCCATGGATGAGGGACTGGGGAGCACCAGGGCACGGAGAGGCTGCTGGGGGTGAGGGGGGAAGCCCAGCCATGGGGACCCCCAGTGCAGAGCCCCTGGTAAGGGACACACCTCAGCGAGACGCCGCTCACCGCCTGCAGCTCCACCTTCTTCTTGAGCACCTCCTTGATCTGCCCCTTCTCAGGCCCCTTCTTCACCTTCTCCCGCCCGATCAGGTAGAAGTACTTGGGGGTGAGGATGAAATCCCGCTTGATGGGCTGGGAAAGGGCAGGAGAAGGGGGTGAGGGGGTTTTGCTGGGGGGAACAAGCCCCACACACACACGTCCCACCCGAGGGAAGCCACCAGGAGCTGCAGCCTGGCCGGTCCCCAGCCCCAGGTGTGTCCTTGTACCTTGAACCTCCGGTCATATTTGGTGATGGAGTCGGCGAAGTCGACGCGCTCCCGCTTGGCCAGGAACTGGCGCAGCTCTGGCCGCTCCTCCATGCCCAGGTAATCGCCCACGAAATTCCTGTTGATGCTGTTCCTCCGCCGCTCTTTGAAGTTGTAGAGGATGCTGGCGGCTGGGAGGGGCCCCAGAGGTGCAGGTTGGACGTGGCTCTGTGGTGGTGGCTCAGAGCCCCCCAGACATGGCAGCAAAAGTGGGGATTGTTTCATGCCATGGGAGGGATCCCAGCTGCTTGACCCACTAATTGCCTTCAAAAAATCTCATGCTGTGGCAGGGAGGGATGGACCCAGCTGTTTTGGGGGTTTTCCTCTTTGATTTTTCCTGCGTGCTTGGGAGGGTTGGAAAACCCATGATGGGGTCAAGCAGGGACCAGTGGCTTGTCCCATCCTTTTGCCAACACTGACTCCCAGCTACTCCCCTCCACCCTTGTGCAGGTGGTGAAATGCAGAGTGAGACAGCACAAGGATCCCAGGGCTGGAAATAGGAGCAGGAAATCCTCTCAGAGTGAGAAAAGACTCCCAACAACTCATGGGCTGGTTCCTCCATCACCATTAGTGATTAGGAGCCAGGCTGCTGCTCTGACAGCCGGGCTGTCCCAGTGAAAGGCACCCTAAAAGGGCTGCTGGGGTGGCACTGCCAGCCTTACCCTCCTCTCTCATCTGCTCGTATTTGCGGATGGCGATGTGCCGGCGCCAGGCCTTCTGGATCACCCGGGCGAAGCTGTCAAATTTCCTCTCCCTCATCTCCTCCAGCAGGAAGAGCTGGGAGGGACAGGCAGAGCTGAGCCAGGACACCCCAAACGCTCCCCAGTGGTGCACAGCCAGGGGCAGGGCCCCCCAGGGGTCAGGGTCACGCACCGACTCGGGGTTCTTGACGAACACCTTGCTCCGGCCCATCTGGTACTGCTCCGGGTCCATGTTGACCGAGCGCAGGAGGTGCTGCACCCCTTGGCGCTCATCCCCGCGCCACGACGGCCACGTCTCGGGGGTGAGGATGGCGTAGCTGTGGGGAGAGATCAGGGTCACAGAATCCCACAAGAGATTGGCTTGGAAGGGGCCTCAAAGCCCATCCCATTCTACCCCTGCCATGGCAGGGACACCTCCCACCATCCCAGGCTGCTCCAAGCCCCGTCCAGCCTGGCCTTGGGCACTGCCAGGGATCCAGGGGCAGCCCCAGCTGCTCTGGGCACCCTGTGCCAGGGCCTGCCCACCCTCCCAGCCAACAATTCCTTCCCAATATCCCATCCAGCCCTGCCCTCTGGCACTGGAAGCCATTCCCTGTGTCCTGTCCCTGCAGGCCTTGTCCCCAGTCCCTCTCCAGCTCTCCTGGAGCCCCTTTAGGCCCTGCAAGGGGCTCTGAGCTCTCCCTGGAGCCTTCTCTTCTCCAGGTGAGAAGAGAAGGTCTGAGGTCTTCTCCCCCACCTCTCTCCAGCTGTGAAGCTGTGCCAGGGCCTCCCCACCCTGCCAGGAAGGAATCTCCTGGTGAGGTGCTGTGGCTCACTGTGCTGTGGGAGCTGCCAGCCCCATGCTGTGGCTGCTCACCGTTGCAGGAACTTGTGGAAGAGGCGGCGATAGGCGAACCCTGCCCGGCGCACCCGGATGTTCTCCTTCAGCCCCAGGTACTCGACCTGGTGCTTCACCCTGTGCAGCAGGGAGGGACAGTGTGGGGTGACAGGTTGGGAGGGACCTAAAGGTGCACCTAAATAGGACAATGTGTCCCCACACACTCCCTGTGCTTCCCTGGCTTTGTGGACAGCTCAGAGGGACTGGCCCAGGGCTGCAGTTTTTGGAGAAAAGCCGGTCCTGGCCACATCTCCATGGCCAGGTCCTGTTCCCTGGGCTCTGTGGGCTCCCTGTTACCTGCTCTCTTCCCAGTCCCGGGGCTTCTTGGTCTCGTTGGGTTTGATGCAGCGGATGTAGTGTGGGGTGCACTTCATGAGCGTGTTCACCAGGTCGTTGGCCTGTTTCTGGTGCAAGGATCGACCTCTGTAGCATCAAAGGGGGTGGTGGGAGCACTGCCCCTGCCACCGCCCCACTGGCAGCTGCTGCTCTGCAGCCCATGGGACACACCTTGATTTTGGAGCCCGCGGTGGTCGGTCGTCCCTTTTTGTCAGAATCAAGTTTTTCTGGGAAAAGCATCCGGATGAAACCGCTGGAAGGGAGGTGACAGTCCCCAGGTGAGAGCTGCCAGGCTCCCCAGGCTCAGCACAGCCTGGGCTCCAGCTCTGCCTTCTGCTGCTGGGAAATCTCCTGTGGGGCTGAGTCCCTCCTCCCTGACCACCCCCAGGAGCAGGGACAGGGACAGGGACAGGGACAGGGGCAGGAGCAGGGACAGGGACAGGAGCAGGAGCAGGAGCAGGAGCAGAGCTGGTGGATGATCCCTCTCTGCCCAGCCCTGCAACCCTGGGGTGCCCGCGGTGCCCACGGGGCCATGCAGGACTGAGCACCCCAAGCTGTGATGCCCACAAAGGCAGGACCAGCCTTTAAGATCTGGATGCTGAGGACTCTGCCCTTTTCCCCAGCCCTTTTGGGGTGCCCCAGGTGCCCAGCACCACCAGACTCACTATTCACTGCTCTGCATGAGCTCGATCAGGTCAGTGAACAGCACGTCCCGGTTGCGCTCACAGAAGCCGTTCACATCGTAGGACACCTGGCGACAGGAGGGGACCTCAGCTGCGGTGGGTGGGGCTGTGGGGTGCAGGGTGTGGGGTTTGGGGTGCCCTACCCACCTTGCCAGCGTAGTGGTGGATGACAAAGCCTGAGCTCCAGCTGTTGAAATGCTCGTGGGTGCCCACGGCTGCCTGCAGCTTCTGCAGCAGGGTCTGGTCAGCGCCCTCGCCCGTGGCATGCATGGTGGCACACACATCATCCAGGACACTCATGATCCCGGGGGGGTTCTGGGACAGGGAAGGGGAAGCCATGGGTGGGGCAGGGCCCAATCCTGCACCTGCTCACAGCTGCTCCATGCTGAGCCACAGCTCGGGGCTGGTGCCCTCCCACGGGTGCTGGCAGTGCCCAAGGCCAGGCTGGACAGGGCTTGGAGCACCCTGGGGTAGTGGAAAATGTCCCTGTCCATGGCAGGAAGTGGGACAAGATGATCTTTAAGGCTCCTGCTAACCCAACCAGTCTGGGATTCTCTGCTTCTCAGCAGGACCAGCTTTTGCCACCCCAACAACCCACCCAGCCCCTGTCCCTGGGTGCCTCTGCTCCCCAAAAAGCCTCCCCAGCAGAGGGGAGCCCACTCACCAGCTTGTTCTCTATCAGGTCACACACCACCTTGTTGTTGAAGTACTGGATCTGTGTCCACTTGATCCCCTCCTGCACATATTCCTCCTGGGGAAGCACAGGGAGAGCTGGGTGAGCCCCGAGCCCCCGAGATGTGCTGCAGACCCTCTGCTCCAGCTGTGGTGCTGGGGAGGAGGAGGGGGCTGCAGGAATTGGGGTGCTGGCACAGCCCCACAGCCCCCAGCCCAGCCCCCCGTACCTGCTCTGCCTTCAGGGTCAGCTCGATGAAGATCTGCTGCAGCTTCTCGTTCACAAAATTAATGCAGAATTGCTCAAAGCCATTTTTCTGCATGAAAGATGGAAAATGGTGCCGAGTTGTCTTCTGCTCCTCTGGCTCATGGGGGGGGACCCCAGCCAGCAGTGCTTGGGTGCTACTCCAGGGACCCTTCTCGGGGCCAGCTGATCCAGGTGCTGTCCTTGCTGTGGGAGCAGGGCAGGACATCCCCAGCTGGGTTCCTACAGCACAGCCACACACACCTGGAATATCTCGAAGCCATAGATGTCCAGCACCCCGACGCTGTACTCCTCGTACGGCTTCTGCATGGCCCGGTTGATGGACTGTGGGGACAGGGGGGACACGCTGGGTGCAGGGTGGTGGCATTGGCACCTGCAGCAGGGGGTGACCGTTCCCTCTCAGGCCCACACACCTCCACAAGGAAGTCGAAGACGCGGGCGTAGAGCCCCTTGGCCAGGGCGTCCCGGGTGTAGGCCGCCTGCTCCACGTTGAGGGTGACAGTGATGGACTCGGAGCGGCCGCCCCACTTGCTGTCCATTTTCCTGCTGGTGACCTTCTCCTTGAGGCGCTCCTGGTCGACCCCCAGCAGGTAGGCAGGGAAGGCCAGGGCTGGGCAGAGCGGGGTGGTCAGGGCCGTGCCCTCCCCACCCGGCTCCAGCCATGGTTGAAACCCTAAGCTCCATCCAAATGTGAAGGACAGTGGTGGGACAATGCCAGGGGACATGGGATGGGTCCTTCCTCTCCCAAAGTGACACCTGGCATCTGTTCCCTGGCTAATCAAGCTCTGGCTGAGCCGTTTGCTGCCTCAGTTTCCCCATGTCTAACCTGGAGAAGTTGCTGGTGCTTCCTCCCTCCCCTGCCAGGGGATTTGTGACACGGCCAGTTTGCCACTCATTCCCGAGCGTCCCTGCAACCTCCCCCACCTGTCCCCTGGAGCCACTTGGCTACTCACAGTCAGCGTTCTCCACCTGGGCGTAGTTGCCCTGCTCCCGGAAGCTGATGTTGCCCAGGTGCAGGATCCCTGCCACGATCTGCAGCACCAGCTGCTGGTCCTCGCCGCAGATGCCGATGACCTGCATGGCGTTCTGGGGGTGCACGGCCCCCGTGAGCCCCCGCCCGGCCTCAGAGCTTGTGGGGACTCCCCTCCCTCCCAGGCACTCACCATGGTCTCGTGGAAGTCGCTGCGGTCATCTGTGCCCTCCACCTGGTAGGTGTCTGTCTGGTTCAGGTAGAAGTAATAATCCGGGCTCATGATGCCCAAATTCTGCCGCTGCTCTTGGGATGCCCCTTGGATGAGCTGGGAGGGGACAGGGGGCTGTGGTCAGCCAGCTCCTGGTCCCCCCCTGCAGACTGCTGGCTCCAGGCCACCCCCATACCTGGTAGTAGATGTGGAAATTCCGCTCGCACTCGTTCTGGCTCACCACGCGTGACTTCTCCAGCAGGAAGTTGGAGATCTTGCCCCCATCGGGTTCTCCACCCCGGCTGAACTGGATCTCGAAGTATTTTCCCTGCTCCAGCACAGATCCTGCTCAGAGCCGTGGCCCTGCCTCAGGGGGGTCCTTATTCCCCCCAACCCCTTCCCCACCGCACGAGGAGCTTTGCTGGGATGTGCTGAAGAGTTTGTGGCTCGTGTGGAGACCTCATCACCCCCTCAGCTGCCCAAAAGGAGGCTGGAGCCAGGTGGGGTTGGTCTCTTCTCCCAGATAACAGGCAACAGGATGAGAGGAAATGGCCTCACATTGCCCCAGGGGAGGTTTAGATCGGATATGAGGAAAAATTCCTCTGCTGAAAGGGTGGTAGGCACTGGAACAGGCTGTGGTGGAGTCACCATCCCTGGAGGAATTGAAAAGCTGTGTGGATGTGGCATTGGGGACACAGACCAGTGGTGGCCTTGGCAGTGCTGGGGGAATGGCTGGACTTGATCTTAAATGTCAATTAAATGTCAATTTGATTAAATTAAATGTCAGTTTTCCAACCCAGCTGGTTCAATGGTTCTGCTGCAGCTCTGACCCCCTGCCCTGGCACTTACGAAGCGGCTGGAATTGTTGTTCCGGACAGTTTTGGCGTTTCCAAAGGCCTCCAGCAGCGGGTTGGACTGCAGGATGATGTCCTTCACGTGCTGGGGACAGAGCTGGGGCTCAGCACAGCCGTGTCCCTCTCCAGGCCTGGGGTTCTGTGTGTCCCCAGGCCTGGAGTGGCTGCCCCGTGTGTCACCATCAGCCAGGGGGGATTGGGGGCCAGGGCGGTGGGGATCGCTTGAGAGGTGAAATGATGAGTGGCAGGGGGAGCTGGCAGACAGGTCAGCACAACAGACCTACCTGGACTTTCTCCCCACCCCCAGACACTTTGGAGATGTAGCCCATGATGTATTTTGCTGCCACCGTTTTCCCAGCTCCGCTTTCTCCGCTGTGCAAATGGCAAAGCAGAGGAGATGTGAAATGGTCCCACCAGAGCCACCCATCCTGGGGGCTTTGGGGTGGGTCCTGGGGCAGGGTCAGAGGATGACAGCGAGTTTTGGGGCCCCTTGGATGGGGTATCAGTATGAGCAGAGCGTGGCTTGGTGAGGAGCTGCTCCACGAGATGCTGAATTTGCTGTCACCGGATTTAGAAGTGGAGGAGGGGGACTTGGAGAGGGAAGTCTCCAGCCTTGCCCCACATCCTGATCATTTCCCCTGCAACACTGCCCTGGAGAGCTGCATTGCACAAGGCTCTGTCCCTGGTCACAGCCTTGCCTGGTGCTTGTGGCCCAGAGGTCCCTCCAGACACCCCAGAGCCCAGGAGCCAACTCTCCAGGCACCTCTTAGCTGGGAATGCCCAGCTGGGGAGAAGGGGTGGTGGGGACAGATGTCCCAGGGGTGGTGGCAGCCCAGCTGTGTCCCCCGGTACCTGATGATGACGCACTGGTTCTCCCCGTCGATCAGCATGTTCCGGTACATGTTGTCAGTCAGGGCGTAGATATGGGGGGGATTTTCATACTGGGCCTAAGCAGGGGACAGGGACAGCAGGGCTGAGCACAGGGCAGCCCCCAGCTCCCCTCCCCAAATCCCCTGAGCTGCCCACAGGGGAACCAGGGCAGTCACACTGACCCTAAGGACAGCAGTGCTGGGCACAGAGCGACCCCCAGCTCCCCAAATCCCCCTCACCCTGCCCTTGTGGGAATCAGCCTCTTCCCACAAACACAGCTCAGCAGCAGCAGTGTCTGGTGTTCTCCAGCTCTCCCCTCCTCCCTGGGAAGCTCACTGGGGCAGAGCCACTCCGGCTGCATTTTACCATGTTTGGGTTTCTTTAGTGTGCATTTCTGAGCTGAATTCCCCAGGAATGGGAATTTGCTGCTGGGTCTCTTGTTGGGAGCGCTGACCCCGGCAGCAGCCAAGGGGCTGTGGAGGATGGGGACCCTCAGGGGTCAGAATGAACAGAATGAACAGAATTAACCCCAGCTTGCCCCCGGGGCAGCCTCACCGCGCCCTGGTACAGCTCGATCTCCCGCTCGGTGAAATACGGCATCTGCTTGAAGGGGTTCACGGAGATCAGCACGGGCCCAATGTAGGTCTGGGCAGCAGGTCAAGGGTCGTGTGTCCCTTCCAATGTCCCCCCTTCCCCCTGCACAATCCCACCCCGGAGGAAGGAAGGTGTTTATGGGGTCCCTGCCATGTCCTGGGAGCTGCACCAGGAACGCCACGAGGGTTTCCAGCCTGGCACAGCAGAGCTGCTCTGCTGCCCTCACTTGGGGCATTCCCAGAGCCTCCTCAGCCCCAGTGTCCCCTGCAGTGTGATGGGAGCAGGAGCATCCCCTCAGCTCCCTGGTCTGCTTGAGGATCGGCTCCAAAAGCTTCTCCAGCATCCCTGGGATCCACCCTCTGCTCATGCATTAGTGGCTTTTCCTGCAGGAGCCCAACCTCATTTTACAGCCAGGGAAAATGAGGCACAAAAAGCAGAGGAACGGCAGCTCCTGCCTTTCCCTGCCCACCAGCCACTCTGCTGCTGCCTTTCTTGCAGTATCCCCGAGCCACTCAGGGCGGGCAGGGGCATGGAGAAGGGAATTGCACCTGGGAATGGTGCGGCAGCGGGATGGGGATGAGCCCCCAGCTGGGTGAGGTGCAGGTGTGGTTATCCCAACCTCTGATATCCTGTTTGTGTCCCACCTGCCAGTGGGGCAGAGCAGCCAAAGGGCAGGAAGAGCTTTTCTGGGAAATGCAGAAGCTTGGGATGTTGAGTCATGACTGGACAGAGCACTGTGTGCAGCAGCACAGAAAAAAAAGGAAGAGAGAGGCTGCGTGGGGTATTTTTCCCCTCCAAAAAAGAACAAAACAAAAAACCCAAAAAAACCAACCCCAAACCAAGCCCCGAACGCATGTGAAGCCCCAGGGCTGCGGGGGGAGGTGGCTGAGTCACAGCCGGGACAGCATCGCCTTGTAAGGACAGGGCTGCATCTCTGGGGGAAATGCAGCAGCCTCAGCTGGAGCAGCTCCGTGTCCCCCGCATGGGGATGGTGTCCCCTGACTCCTGGCACCCCCTCCCCGGGCCTGCAGGGATGCTCCTGCTCCATCCAGGCTTTGCCAGGATTTGTGGGGGGTTCAGAGCAGCCAGGACATGCTGTGGGCACCGCTGGGGGTGGGTGACAGCAACAGGGGACGATGGGCACTGCTGCCACCCTGGGCACACGCAGGGGGTCCCTGGTGGGCAGGAACAGGGCGAGGTGATGGTGAGGGGCTTTGCTTGGGCCTTTGTGGCTACAGAGGAAGGACCAAAGCAGGTCCTGCAGCCTGGCAGGAGAGGAGTTTTTGTTGTTGTGTCTCTGCCAAGTGCAGCCCCGCTCGGGGATGGCGACATTCCTGATCCTGGCCCAGCAGGGCCCAGCACACGCTGCAAGCACTGCGGCAGCTCCAGTTTGTCCCATGCCCTGCCAAAGCCTTGAAGCCCATCCCTGCTGCTCCCTGTGCCTGCCCCCGCTGCCTGGGGAAGGATACAAAGATGAAATCATCCATGAAACGCTTCTTGAGGTTCTCCACGATGGCCTCCTCTGAGATCTTGGACAGCAGCACCATGTCATCCACGCCACTCTGCTTGACATTGTGGCTCTGCCAGTGGAAGCGCTCCTTGCTGCCCTGGGGGGACAGGGACACAGCAACTGTGCCAGGGCCATCTCCTGCCACCAGGGCTGGCTCTGACCCCTCGAGCTGCCGGCAGCTGGGACTGTCCCCAGCTCAGCTGTCACCCCAAACCAGGCACCTCATGGTGCAAAAGGAAGGGTTTGGCCAAGCTGGAAACTCTCAGAGCTCAAAATTCAGTGCTCTGGGTCTTGTCCTGATGGTCCCAACCCTCTGGATCTCTCCTCACCTCCTGCCACCCGCAGAGGAGGAGACAGGACCTGCCCCAGCCCCCCTGCACCTCACCCAGGCTAATGAAGGACTAATGAAGCAGCTGATGCACAGCCTGATGATGAGCCAGAGCAACGCAGGGAGAGGGTGGTGGTGGCATCCTCTGCATCCCCACACCCTCCCTGCACACCTGTTCCCCTTCCTCCTGCCCGGGGAGATGCCAGCACCCTCTGCCCAGCTGTCCCCAGCTCTGTCCCCCAGGGGCTGTGGGGCAGCAGCAGAGCTGGGCTGTGATTTCAGCCCCTGTGGGGTAAACACAGCCCTGGGCTGGGATCGGGGATTTCATCGTGTAAAAATCACCCCAAGGCCTCCCCTTGCCCTCGATGTCCCCACAAACAAGCTGGGCACAGCTGTGGTGCCCGTGTGGCCCCAGCACGGTGCCCAGGAGGGGACGCCCCATCTGGACCGGTCTGCGGCCCCTCTTTCCCCATCACCACGGTTCCTCTTTCACCCCCATGCTCCTGTCACCGATTTCACTTCTCCCCCATCAACCCTGGCCTCTTACTCTTTGCATTTCCCTTTTCTTCTTCTCTTCCCCTTTTGCTTGATTTTCCTGCAGGCTCTCAGGATTTCAGGGCTCTGCATCCCGACACCTTTGCAGGCTCCTGGCAGCCTCTGATTTTCACTGGGTGTCCCCTGCCCCCCACAGCCACCCTGGGCTGTCACAACCCGGCTCCATCACGTGCTGCTCTCTCCTCACTGGGCCCTGCAACCCCAAACATCCCTTGTGCCCCTTCTCCAAACCCCAAATGCAAGTCCAGCCCACGTAGGTGCTGAAGGGGTTTGTGGATGTGTTGTCCCACCACCTTCTTTTGGGGTGCACAGAGCTGGGTCAGCTCAGGGGGTCCAGGGCTGCTCACACAACCTGAAATCACCCAGGGAGCTTCTCCTCTTCCTCCTGGGCCTTTCATTTGCCTTCATCCTAATATCCCCTAGGAAATGCAGCTGGAAGAACACAGGCAGGCTCAGCCATCCTCGCCAGGTCACTGGTGTCACCCAGGGAGCTTCCAGGGACCCCAGGAGCTGCTCAGCTTCACCCCAACCTGCCCCAAACCCTGGGTTTGAGGAGGAGAAGGGTGGGAGGAGCCCGTGGGCAGCCAAACACCTCTGTGCCATCCCCATCACCCCAAACCTGCTGGCCCAGGCTCCCTGGGCTGCTGATCAAGGCCAAGTTGAGGCAAAAGGAACATTTCCTGCACCGGGAGCTCAAAGCTTCTGAGCTGGCACCCTGAGATTCTCCTTCAGCTGCACGCCTGCTCAGAGCTGTCAGTGGTGAGAGAACCTTCACCTCCTCTTCCTCTGGGCCAGCTCAGGGGCTTTCCTGGCTCTGCTGGGGCACCTGGTGCAGCCCAGCTGTGAGGAAAACACCGGCTCACAGGTGGGAAATGAAGATTTGTCCTGGGTGTTCCTGCCTGGCTTCCCTGAGCTTGTCATGGGGGGTTTGCATGGCCAGGGCTCACTAAAAAATCAGGTAAATTCAGAGTAAAATCAGGATGAAGAGGAATTGGGATCCCTTGAAGGCCTGGTATTGCCCCAGCTCAGTGCCCAAAGAGCTGCCATGGGATAGGGCTGCAGGTGACATCCCTGTGAGGAGTGGGAGCACAAGGTAATTTGCTTCCAGAGGTTTGGGGCAGCAATTTCTCCATCTCCCCCTCTGTCCAGTCCCCTCCTCTGCCCCAGGCCAAAGCTGCCCAGGGCAGGGCACCTGGACCAAGCCATTCCATCCTCATGCCAAGCAGGGAGAAGCTTTTGTGCCCCCTCCACCTTCCAGGTGCCCTTTTGTCCATGGGGTGCTGGGGCTGCTGTCCCCACGACACCTTTGCAGCCCCTGTGCATGAGGGACTTTGCTCCAAAGGTGACAGGTGACACATGAGGAGCCCCTCATGTCCCCAGCTGTGGGACAGGCACCGTCCCCAGCGCTGTGCACGGGGCCAGGATGCTCCTGGCACTCAGATAGGATCTCTCGGCAGGGAGGGGAGCAGCTCTGTGGCAGCACTTACAAAACACCGTGTTTTCTTCAAAGCTGTGGTCTAAACCACAAAGAAACCCAGCAGCCCCGAGCAAGGAGCGGATGCAGCCCAAGGTGGCACCTTTTGAGTCAAGACTGAGGCCAAGCCCAGATGCATCAACACCTTAAAAACCACCGGAAGCCTCGAGAGGAGCAGCAGGATTGTCCCATCACTGTCCCAGCCAGGCACAGGCAGGGCTTGGGGATGGGGCTGGCCCTGGAGCTGGGCCTGGCAGGGGTCAGGGACATGGCTGCAGAGTCCTTCGGTCTCCAGGAAGGTCTTCGGTGCTCCAGGTCTCACAGAGCAGCTTCAGGTGGCAAAGGAGGGGGCAGTGTGTCTTTGGGGACAGCATCTGAGCAGCCTCTTGGAGGTGACAGCCACAAGTGTGGGTGTGAGCAGGTTCAGTTTCAGCCTGGCCACTGTCCCCTTCCTGTCTGGGTGGAAATAGCTGGGGACAGCATCACCCTTCTGCAGGAAGCAGAGCTGCGAGCTGCGGCAGCCCTTTACCCCATGTCTGAGCATCTTCCTAATTTTGAGAGCTTTCATCTTCCTCTTCTGCCTCCAGAACCACTTGCAGAGCTGGCTGCTGCCCTCCTGCAGCCCCATGTCCTCCCTGCAGCCCCTGGCCCCTGCAAGGTCTGACCATGGGGACCATGGGGTCCCTCCTGGTCTGGCCTGCCCCACACTCTGCCCCACCAGTGCTGAAAGCAGCAGTGGGACCACAAATCCATCCCATGGGTACCACGGCAGCGACAGCAAAATCCAAAATCCAACGCTCTCTGTGTCAGCACAGCCCCATCCCCTGCTGTGCCCACCCTGTCCTGGGGACAGCAGCCCCAGCACCCCAGGGGCAGCCCGGTGCCTCCCCCAGCCGTGTCCCCAAGCTGGGGAGCAGTGTCCCCTCTCCAGCAGGGCCTGGGGCACGGCCCGGGCACCTCCCAAAGCAGCCGGGGACGGGCTGGGAGCAGGGGAGGGCAGGGTGGGGTGGCAGCAGCAGGAGGTGACAGCCAGGTGACACCGAGGGGAGCAGGGTGGGGTCCCCAGGAGGGCCCTGCTGGCACTCACCATGATGTCCCTGTGTCCCGGGGCGCTCGGCTCCTGTCACCGACAGCCCAGGGCCATCCCAAGCACTCGGCTTTTGCCTTTCTGCTCTTACAACGATTGTGACGAATTTTCTTTCCCTCCCACCACTTCCTCATTTTGCACCCTTTGTGGGGGTGGGGAGGACAACGGCGGCTTTGCTGCCAGGGGAGCCGGGGTGGCCCTGCCCAGGGTGGCCCCACCTCGCTGCTGTCACCGAGCTGCGGAGGGAGCAGCTGCTGGACGGAGCCCAGGGATGCTCAGAGCCCCGGTGACCTTTCCCCTCACCCTGCAGGGACACTCAGATGTCACCTGTGCAGCAGTAGGGTCATCAGTGCCTGGAGGTGGTTTTGAGAACAAAATGCTTTTGGTTGCTGATTTTTTTTTATTTTTTAATATTTTTAATATCAAAGAGGCCCCACTTGAGTGCAGAGCAAAGCGGGATTGCTGCAGGACACCGAGGCCTGAGAGAGTTCTTGGCCACTCTGTCCTCACTGTCCCCTGCAGAGTTTCAGGATGGCTTGGTTTGGGTCAAACCCCATCCAGACCCTGCCATGGCAGGGACACCTTCCACCATCCCAGGCTGCTCCAAGCCCCATCCAGCCTGGCCTTGGGCACTGCCAGGGATCCAGGGGCAGCCACAGCTGCTCTGGGCACCCTGTGCCAGGGCCTGCCCACCCTCCCAGCCAACAATTCCTTCCCAATATCCCATCCAGCCCTGCCCTCTGGCACTGGAAGCCATTCCCTGTGTCCTGTCCCTGCAGGCCTTGTCCCCAGTCCCTCTCCAGCTCTCCTGGAGCCCCTTTAGGCCCTGCAAGGGGCTCTGAGCTCTCCCTGGAGCCTTCTCTTCTCCAGGTGAGCACCCCCAGCTCTCCCAGCCTGGCTCCAGAGCAGAGGGGCTCCAGCCCTTGGAGCAGCTCCGTGGCCTCCTCTGGACTGGCTCCAGCAGCTCCACGTCCTCCTGATGTTGTTCCCCAGGGCTGGGGCAGCTCTGCAGGTTGGGTCTCACCTGAGCAGGGGCAGAATCCTCCCTCCCCTGCTGGCCCAGCCCAGCATCACCAGCACGGGGGATTCTCTTTGCCGTGCAGGGAAATTGTTCCTCCGTGTCCTAAAGCAGCTCTGGGTGAATCCCCACCTGTTCAACCCACTCTCGTCCCCAGGGAAAACCCTCCCCTGCTTCCACACCCCTCCTTTGGGGTGGATTTTGGTGCTGTGGGTGCCCAAACCCAGCCCCGGGCTTGAAGAACACAAGTGGGAGCAGAAGCTGTGCCCGGGATCGTAGCTACTCCTTTATTATAATTCATGCCGTTACGTCGCTCCTCCTCAGAGTTAGTATGTTAAACATTGGTCAGTAGATATATATCGATATAAAAATGGTGAAAACACCCCCTCCCCTCACCCAAAAACGTCAGAATGGAGCGTGGCACCAGGAAGGAAGAGAAACGAGATTTGCTGAGCACCAGAGAAGCTGCGATCGGCTGAGGAGCAGGTGGACACAAAAACGGGAGAGGAACAGACGGGGGAAGGGGCTGTCCCCTCCCTGCACCCTAGGGATGGCCCCAAGGGAACAAAACACAGCTTTGGACAAAGGTTTCCCATCGCTGTGATGTGGAAAGGCCTGAAAATAATCATAATAAGAATTACAATGCTAACAAAAAGCACATGCTTTGGAGAGTTGAAGTCAGGTCTCCTCCACAGGCTGCCCGTGGAGAAACTGGCACAGGTTTGGCCACGAGGTGACCTGGAGGAATTTCAAGCCTGCTCTTTTCCCATCACTGGAGGCCTCCCGTGGGTGGCACTGGGACTGGCACCTCGAGGCCACAGCCCCACGTGGCCAGGCTGCCTTTGGAGGCAAAAGCACCTTTAGGGGGCAAAGCACCTTTGGAAATCAAGCACCTTTGGAAGCGAGGCTGCTGCTGAGGCTGAGGTGATCTCTGGGCCGTGCCAGGCCCTGGGGACGCTGTGACAGGACCCTTTGTGTCCTGAATCCTCCTCTGCTTTGCTCCCTGACCCTGGCACAGCCCCAATGCCCATGGAGGGACTGCAACCCCCAGCACGCCTCTGCCCCCACCTCAGCTAAAAACTGCTCCTAGAAGTGACAAGGGCGGTGAGGACAAATAGGGGAATGTCCTAATCCAAGTAGGTTTGAAGAACCCCCCTCCCAGTTAAGCTGGTGTCACCCTCTGCTCACGGGGTGTCCTGTTCCCCGTGCCCAGCTGCCAGTGCCGAGGTGACCAAGGAGACAAAATCCCTGCTCCAGCCCCACTCCCCACGGCGGCTCCTCTTCATCCATCGCCCACGAGCCACGCTGGAGGCACCTGCACCCTCCTCCCTGTCTCCCCTGGGATCCCGAGGGAAGGGCAGCAGCCCCAGGAGTGCTGAAGCCCCGTGATGATGCCCCAGGGACACGGAGCAGGATGAGGCAGGAGCGGGGCGAGCGGTGCCGCTTCCCTCAGTAGCGCCCGGGACCTGGCTCCGCTACTAATAAATAACAACATCAGAATTTCAAGTAAAGTCCCTGCTCTGCCCAGCTCCCCCCTCTCCCAGCACTCATCCGACCAGGGCTGCAGTGGTTTAACTGGGAACCTGCCATTGTGAAGCTCGGGGGCCAAGGGGGTCTGTGGGGGACGGCTTTGGGTGACGTTGGCTCCCGCTGGAAGCGTGGCCAGAGTCTGTGTGGGAGCCAAGGGAGATTCCCGGGGCGGGCAGGGAGGGCACGGCTCGGCAGCCCTCGGGCGTAGCTTTGGCCTTCCAGTTTTGCCACGGGGGTCCCGCTGTGTCCCGCTGTGTCCTAGTGCCCCTGGCAGGTTTTACAGCACATCTGTCGGAAGTAGGTCCGGCTGCAGAACTTGAACTTGAGGACGAGCGGGCAGTAGGCCACCTTGTTCACATCCTTGCACTCTGCAGGGGACACAGGGGGGAGCGGGGTCAGGCTGAGGAGATCCTGGGGGGTTTTGCCAGGAAGCTGAAAGATGCAGCTGTGGTGAAGAAGCTGCTGAGGACCTCACTAATGAAAACCTCTCTTTGCCAAAGTGCAGTTCCTGCATTTCTCAAGGTGTGGTTCCTTCGTTTCTTGGGGTCAGGGTGCACCAGGTGGGTCTGGGACCAGAGCCATGGAATGGCCACATTTTCAACGGAGTGATTTGGGTTGGAAGAACCTTAAAGCCCATCCAGTGCCACCCCTGCCATGGGCAGGGACACCTCCCACTGTCCCAGTCTGCTCCCAGCCCCAGTGTCCAACAGTGTCCTGGGATGGGCTCTCCCCACCCATCTGGTGCTGTGGTGGCTGCAGTGTCCCCAGGGGGACACGTGTCCCCTCCCCAGAGACCCCCTCACCTTCAGGGTTGTCCGTGGGCCCCGACTCGCACTTGGTCTCGCACTGCTGCATCCCGGGGGGCTGCAGGGCCTCCACACACTCCATGGACGGCTGCCCGGTGTGAGCCAGGCACTGGACGGATCTTCTCTGCTGGCCGAGGCCACACTGGGCAGAGCACTGTGGGGACAGCACAGAGAGAGCTGCAGTGGCCACCACGGCTTCAGGAACGTGACAGGAGTGGGCACAGATGGGGGATAGGGGCTGTAAAGGGTGCTGGAGGGGGTTGTCCCTTCCCTCCCCAGCTGAGACTCCCTGGAATGACCGAGTGCTGTGGCCCCGCATCCCAAAAAAGCTTGGTTTGATTCTCCAGGGTTCAGGGAGGATCCCTCATCCAGCCCTAAATCACCGGCCTGTGCCAGGCCTCCTGCACCCGATGGCACCCTGCAGCTCCAGGGCTGTTGGAAGGCAGGGGGGACTGGCAGGGTCACCCCACCGGGCTCTGGGGGGATCAGCAGTGGCCCCGCTTGGCACGGGGCCAGCCCACCCCTGCAGCCTGCTGACCCCATGGGGACCCTTCAGTGCCATCTGTGGGGTCCTGCTAGGCCTGGGACACCCCCAGGATCACCCCTGCCCTTGGGTCACCATCACAAACGAGCCAAGAAAGGGGCACAGGACACCCCCACGGCATCCTGCTGTCCCCTGGATAGTTGTGGTGGCCACCCAGGGCTCTGCTGGCCGGTAAGATCCTACCCCTGGGTTTGAAGGGCTGGGGGGGCTTCTGCAAGACCCCCGTGGGGAGGGCTGTCCCTACCTCTCCCCACTCGCCGGTGACCCAGCGGGGCGGGGGGCAGCGCCGCAGGTTGCACCTCATGCTGGTGGGGGGCTTGGCGGCCTCGTGGCACTGGGAGGTGGGCAGGGTCACGCTGTGGTCGCCGCTCTTGCACAGG